AACGCCCTGTGTTCAGTATGTTATGTAATATTTATATGTACTTTATTACAGTGGGATGTGCTCAGAGGGGAAAATTAATAGTGCAAGTACAGAATTAGAATGTCTTATGGAGGCATATGGGGTATTGGTGTGATTTTGATTGGTTTTGGTGCTGTTGTTCCAAGTATGGGAATGTGGGTATAAAATATTGTATGCTGAATTTGAAACTTTTGTGTAAAAAATAACATACATTATATGTACCTTTAAAAAGAATGGTCCTGTAGCACTTTGTTGTTTTTAAAGGTTTTTTTTAAGTTACAAACTAACATGGCTACCCCTCTGAAACTTATCTGTACCTAGTTAGCAAATCACTTTATAAAGCACTTCGTGTATGGAAGGTTATAATAATTATTATTATTATCATATTTTCCTGCATTTGTTGGTTTAACCTTTCTAACTCTTTATTTTGTATTTCACTTTTTTTGTATTTAATTTATATATGGCTACTTTGCAAAGTCTATTCCATAATCTAATCTTCATGTACTTTACACCAGGCAGTTGTAAAACTGGCGTAAAAGCACAATTGCAGATACACAGGAAAGGCTCCTTTCTCACATTCATAGCTTCCCTAAAATGCTTTATTTTCACATACACAAAAACCATTTTGAATACAAAAAGTATATGCTGAAGTCCCTTTTCGGGACTCACAAAGAATCACAGTAAAGTCAGTGGTTCTTCATGTGGATGTAGGAACCTGTGAGCATAAATCTTATTTCGGGGTCAGGGTTGCAATTCTGACCAAAAAGAAGAGCTGTCATGCTTTTATTTATTTAATTTATATTTATTTTCAGAGGAACACATGCTGAACACAAAGAATCAGATTTACATTGGTTATACACTATTTATTCCCTGGTGTAAGTCTTTATGGAATTTGGCCTGGGAATACCTGTTTTATTCATTTTCTGTGCAACCTTAATATTCTGTCACTTTTATTTAAAATGTGAAATATTGCAAGCAGCATTGGGTCATATGGAATAGTTTAGGAAGAAAAAAACCTCTCAAGAGTGAATTTTCCAACTTCTCTCCGCTACTAAAAAGAGATACTTTATATAGAGCCCTCCTTTTCTCATGCCCCACTACAGTTTTTGTCAGATCTCATTTTAGATTTTTATAGGTGGAATACATTTTTTTTCATCTAGTGAATAGATAATACATGTTGCCATACCAGGATATACTTTGGCAGTGTTTCTGCTCTCTGAGGGTAGTCAGAATTCAGGAAAAATTTTAAAGTTTTTCTTTATTGACAAAAGAAGTCTTAGCACATTTTGCATGGAATCAGCCATTTAATATTAAAGAGACAATTTTATTGGCAACATGGCTGAACGCCACATTTTGGACTTGTATATCAACATTTGCAAATTTGGTTTATTTGACTCTTCAGGGCTTGGTCAAAGCCCATCTGGACGTTTTATAACAATCTCCCATTCAGCATTAAAACCTTATTGAAACATCAATGAATATTCAATTCTTGTGTTAGTTTGATAATAGTGAAATGTCCCATGTTGAAAAGCTTTTGTTTAATTTGTTTTAAACATGCCTTTGTAAAAAGAGGAAATAAAAAATAGAAAATGTGATTGAAGGAAGACGCTATAAATTATTCAATATACGCCACTGAAATAATTTGAAATAATAGCTAGGCGTAAAACTTTCCAATAGCATAACCATTGTAAATAGAAATATCCAAAGTGCAATGTATCTATATTTCTACTTATCTCCAAACTGACTTTCATCAGAAGGGAAAACATTTGCCTTTATTGTTAGAGTAAAAGACTTTAGGACTTTTCAAAGTCCATGGATATGAACGACAAGAAAAAAAAATCTTTAACTACAACCCTGGTTGCATGAAGAGAATCAGCCTTATTTATAACTTTTAAGTAGACAAGTGTAACCTTCAAAATCCATATAATTTGCCAGGAATAAATGTTACCACTAGCTCAAATTGGGGTAAATTTCACCTATTTTATATTAATTTTCAACTTTGCAAACACGTGTGTACTGAAAACAGTGTCGTGCATTACCATTAACCACAACATTCATTTTGGGCTCTGCTGCAAGAGAAGATGTTCTTTCCTTTCCCATGTATGTCGGGTCTTTCCCACATGGTGTGTCATCAGTGGTGCCCCTTTGGGAAACTCCCAAAACCAACAACAGCAGCAATTTTTTGTTTTAAACATTTTTAAACATTTGATTTGTCTATTTTACTGACCCATGTGGATAAAAGTCTCTCTCTTCGGGTCATTTCCATTCTCATCTAATATGAATACATAACTGCCGTTGTTTCCTGCAGAGGGAAGGGAGTTGGACAGAAGTATCCTAGGCAAAATAGGGCCCCTTGCATAAAAGGTATGTTTGTCTATATATATGTAGACATAGGTAATTAAGAAAGGTAACCTAATGTGTGATAACTGGAGAACTAGAAACAAACAAGTTTTTTTTTATATAAGGTGGGGCATACTCCCTTTTCTTTTGCCATACAAATAGATAAAATCCTTGCTCAAATTCTGCTCTTAATTCCATTGGTGCAGTCCCATTAATATCAATAGGGGTATTCTGATATAACTGACAGCAGAGTCTCTCAGTTGTCCACCCTTTCTCTGGAGAGAGATACATTTTAGACCTAATTATACAGCTGCTTTGTACAAAAGGTTCCCATTGTTCATATTTCACCGCTACATAACGAGACTCTTTATCTCCATATTATTCTCTCAACACAGATTACAACTCATTTGTGTGTTGGGGGAGTCTTTTGGTTAACATTAGAAATGAAGCACGATTTAATTATGCTAAATAAATATAAGAATGCTTAATTTTATGTGAAAGGGGTCATGGCAAGTCATGGAGCTCAAATTTGTTATATGTTCCCAATACATAGAGGGACATTTGTGCAATATTTTAAAATGTGTTCCCAATGGTGGATTTGACAGAGTAACAACCACTCTCCCTATCTTCATGCCTAGGTGGGAGAAAGATCCCAAAATTATTTTCTGACATTTTTATGGGATCATAGCAAGATGATAGTCGAAAACCACTGTTTTAATACATCCAGCTGAAGCTAGTAAAAAAATTAAAACCTACGCGTGTGGAAAAACTCTGAAACATCAAAGTTATGTTCCTTCTTAAGTGTTTGAAACAGACCCATTTTTAATATTTTAGAAATTGTTCATAATTTTATTAATTTTGTTCCACAAATTATTTTTAAATAAAAACTTTACTGAAAAGGTTATTGGAGGTTTTCATTTAATGGTAAACAAAAAATTGCAACAACTGCTCATATAATGTTTCCATTATTTTTCGCTATAAAACCATGAAATATTTGCAACAAAAGAAATATATAATTTTTTTAAAAAAAGGCCATTTTTTCAGCTAACTATGTTTTCTTTGAAAAATTTCAACCAGGTCCATGAAGTAAGACTAAGATGAGAGAAAGGTTAATGTGTTGCTCTCACATGCCCTTATGATTTTTTTGATTGGTTACCATATTTCACACTATCCATGGGGCTACCCGGAAAGACCAGTCAGAAGCTACTGCTAGTGCACAGACCGCAAATATGTTGCTTTGCAAGACCAGCCATAGGGAGCTCATTACACCTCTATTCTATTGATTTCCGGTTTCCTCTTGGTATAATACAAAGAGTTCATTTAGGCCTTTATGGTTTAGCTATATCTGGCCAAGAGATTGACTCTCTGTTGTCCACCACTGAGATCAGTTGATTCTTTCACAATATCGGTTCCAAGATTTGTGTGAATAGGGGCTGCTGTGAGGGTATTTTGCTCTGGAACTCACTTCCCACATTGGGCAGACAGGGCCAGAACTTGTTGAACATCATCACATGATGTCAAATTCATCTCTCTACTCAGGATTTACCTGAGCAGGTTGGTCAGATCCTTAAGAATGTCTCTGGGAAGGTCATGTCTACACTATAGCTGCTACAGCCTCACAACCAAGCACTACAGTGCTGCCACCATACCATAGATGCTTCCTACACTGCTGGAAGGGGGTTTTCCATCCATGTCATTAAGCCATCTCTATTAGAGATGGTCACCAGATCTACAAAATAATTCTTCTATTGACTTAGCTACATCCACATTGGGTGTTAGATTGATCTAAGTATGGTTTTTCACAGCCCTGAGCAATGTAGTTATGCCAATCTAAGGCCTGGTAAATGTCCAGTGGTAACTGGCTGGGGCAGAAGACTTACATTTATGCTCTTACTCTGGCAGATAGACATGTGAGACATGTCCTTGATGTAGCTAATCATTGGCAGAAAAATGTTTGATGTCTGAATCTCATTTACACTACAGCCAATTTACAGTGTACAGGGTGAAGCCCTTAACAGGGGCATACATTATACTTATACTAAATTTAAGGCAACTTGGTATTGGGAGAACTGAGTAAATTGGTCTTAGTATAAATGGGAGTCAGGCCCATATATTACAATTTAATAGTTAACGAGCTAAGTGGCTTAGACAATGGGTGGAGTACACAAACACATAAAATGGCTAATTTTAGAGCATCTAGTTTAGTGAGGGTAAATCCCTAAAGTAAATTCAGCCAGTTCCTCCTTACAAGAGTACTTCTTGTTGTAGAAAGTAAACTCATGTTATGCCTTCCTATAATTTTAGATATGACCAACATCTAAACAGTACATATGTGTTACACGTCCCTGTCTCTTTGATTAGATTGGATTCAATTCTGTGATAATATTTATGTCATTGTTTGATGGATGAGATTAAACCACATTTGGAAATCACTTTCACATTTATGGTCACTTCAAAAGTTAAATTAACTTATTTTTATAAAAAAATCTGTTAGGTTTTTTTTTTATAAATGCAAACTACTATACAACCCAATGCAAAGTTCCACCTTATTTCTACTGCAGTAGGACACAGGCATCCACTAAGTACAGCAAAAAGCAGGCAGATCAGCTTCAAAAGAATCATCTAGCCTTTTTTTATCCTACCTTTCCACTCTGAAAATATTTTCTTAGGGACAAATCTGTGTTAAAGATGGTCTCTTCCAGATGGTCACAGTCCCACTCTTATGCCGTATATATACTAAATGGAAACAGTACTGGAAGAGAAGGATATGAAAATTTAGAATTACATTCAGATTTGTTACAGGTATCTGAGAGAAATCTAGACCTGGCTGCATCCGATGAATATTATATGATCTAGCAACCTTACACTCTATCTTTATCCACTTCTGATGTTAGCTACCTTAAGGTGACCATTATCTAATGGTTTATACATTCGGAGGAGCAGCCCCTGCAAACAGAAGCTTGAAATGAGTGAATATATCTAGGTCGTATATATATAAAATGAGACCATGTGTCATGAAAATAACGTGCTTGTTCTATAGAAGAGAGGAGTAGCATGGACCAGAAAGAAGAAAACTATGTTTGTGGCCATTTATAAAGGCATGTTAAAGACTTCATTGTCAAAGTGAAGTGAAAAATCATTAGGATCCTAGTTGGACCAGGGTTCAACAGAAATTAGGAATGGAGATAAAATAAATCAGCAAATTAAAAACCTCTTTAATGCTAACTTCAGTTCATAAAAGATTAATATTTCACTTCTTTGAAAAAATTATTGCAAAATAATTCTCATTCTAAATTAAAATAAAACAGATTTTACCTCAGTGACCATTTATTTCAGAAACAATGGATGGAATTCTCCTTTTATTTGTACCAATTTTACACACGTATTCTCCAGTTACTTTAATGGAGTTATTAATGATCTACACTACTATCAATTAGATCATAATCAAACCCAGGATTTTTAGATTAATTTGTTTTCTATCTTTATACTTGCATTGACTAACATATGAAGTTACTGGTACATTCAATCTCAATTATGGCTTTCTTTTATAATGAGTTGTTTTAGGCTGCGTACCAAAAAATATTAAAACACAATCAAAAAATGCAGGAGAATCAGTACATTCTTTTCATGCAGAAGTTGAAAATTAACCTAAAATATAATAAAAAATCCAGGGGGAGTGCAGGGATTAGGTTGTCTTTTAATGTGATATCACAATAAGGAATGTTCTGTTTTGTATTAAAAGTTAAAGTATTTGTAGTTTTCAAATCAAGTTTTGTAAGCTGAAACAATGGTGGCAGCTAAAAACACTAATCTTGATCTAAAATACATATTTATATGAAGACATTTCGGGTGGGAAAAAAGCTCCAAAACTCAGACACAGGATGTTGAACAGTGCTCTTGAAAATAAATGTTACGGAAGTCATATACTCTTACTGCAAGTAGAGGATAAAGAAGAAAATGGGAGCTCTATTTTTTGTTGTTTTTTTCAATAGAATTATCCTTGGTACATTAGCAGTAAATTTTCTTTTTTCTTAGAAGGGGGTTAAAAGAGGAGGGAAAAAAGAAGAGGACCACATACCTTCCAAATAAGCCTGGTGTAAGATGAGTTTGGTTTAGCTGGTGAAAGGGCAGCAGAGAAAAATGTAATGTGATGAAAAATAAGCCAGTGGTTTAATTCAAGTCAGCTTCCTGAAGAGTTCTTCTTAGCTCTGCCTATGTGGCTTTTGCTGTGGGTTTGTGTGTCCTTTTCTCTCTGTGATGACTCCACGAAGGTATATGTAAAACCAACTCAGAAAGGGGGGAGGGGACACAGCAAGGCTCTGATGCATAAAGATTTCTCTCTGCAGCTTGCTGTTTCCACATCCACCTCCCTTCTGTTGCTGCTATTACTAACCCCACACACTAGCAGACAGTTAAAGGAAGAGAAAGCAGTTCAACAACTGTCCACGAGTCTGGTCTATAATTCAAACTTTCATCTGTTGAACAAAGAATTTATTTCTTTGCAGACTTAGGCCTATCAAGGTTGTTTCCCCTATGCAGAAAATGGGGGCCTACAAGAGACTTTAAAACACCTTGTTGTTAAAGGTTTCTGTTTAAAAATTCCCCAAGGTCACAGATTCCCTTACTTTGGGTGAAATGCTGCTACCACCTAAAAGGAAAAAACACTTTGAGAATTTAGGAAGACGTACTTGGGAGAGAAGGTGGAGTTGTTAACTTGGCCCTGTCTGCATCACAACTGCTCCCACACCATGTTCTGATGCGTGTCATAGTACAGAGTCAGATGGGTACCCCCTGAAGCTTCTAAAAGCTTCCTGACACTCCCCAGACCACTTAAATGCACTTGGTTGCTTCTTCCTTGTCAGGTCTATCAGCAGAGCAGCAATCTCACTGAAGTGTTATACAAATCACCTGTAATATCCTGCCAAGCCTCGGAATGATTGTATCTCCTTTTTTTTACTAAGGGACAGCACAATTTTGGATAGCCTCCACTTTAGTCTATAGAGGGTTCCAAGGTAAGTCACGCTATTTAGGACACTTTCTAGTCTTAACTGTCAGCCCTGCCTCCTTTATGCACTGGAAAACAGCTTGCAGGTGCTTTTGGTAGCCACGTTGTCCAGATAGGCTATTGGAAGGTAATCTTAGGAAGGTTGCAAGTGCATTGCACAGCCTCAAAAGGGAGAACATTAAATTCATACAGCCCTATATGTATAACAAAAGCTGACCTTTCCTTGGCTGATTCATTCAGAGTTACCTGCCAGTACCCTTGGTTAAGTCTAGAGTGGAGGTGAACTGGCACATGCCAGTTTCTCCAATAGCTCATCTGTGCATGGCACTGATAGTTTCTGAGCGAGTTACAGCATTTAGCTTTGGCAGTCCACGCAAAAGCAGATTTCTCCATCTGGTTTGGGAACTAGGACCATTGGAGAGGCGGATTACACTCATTTCTAACAAGTCCTTGATGTCCTTCTTTATAGAGATTTTGTCTGATGGAACTATCCAGTAGGGTTGGGGTCTTATTGGGTGAGCTTCATCTGTGTTAATGGAGTTGTACACTCATTCAGTCCATCCTGGGATGGCTGAAGACATTGGTGCAAAACTGATGTCCAGTTTCTTGATTTGCTGCCATTGCTCATGGCCAACGCCCATGGAAAAGGTTACTTCTTCAACATTACACTTGCCTTTCTCTTCATAGTAGACTCTTTCAGGCCACTCAGCATCATCTCTTCTGGGCTGTGAACTGAAGAGTCTTGATTTCTTGGGAATAAAAGGGTTTTAGAGAATTAACATGATCTTTGGCTTAAGGTGAGGGTCTGGCGTCTGAGGTAATTTCTGCTCTCTGCACTTTCAGACCATCCCACAATGCTTCCATCTTATTGGCCTGGAACAGCTTCAAGACAGTAACAGGAAACTTGAAATGGCAGATATGCTTAATGACTTCTTTGTTTCGGTCTTCACTGAGAAGTCTGATAAAGGAATGCCTAATATAGTGAATGCTAGTGGGAAGGCGGTAGGTTTAGAAGATAAAATAAAGAAGAAGAACAAGTTTAAACTCACTTAGAAAAGTTAGATGTCTGCAAGTCACCAGGGCCTGATGAAATGTAGCTTAGAATACTCAAGGAGCTGATAGAGGAGGTATCTGACCCTTTAGCTATCATCTTTGGAAAATCATGGAAGACAGGAGAGATTCCAGAAGATTGGAAAAGGGCAAATATAGTGCCCATCTATAAAAAGGAAAATAAGAACAACCCAGGAAACTACAGACCAGTTAGTTTAACTTCTGTGCCAGGAAAGATAATGGAGCAAGCAATTAAGGAAATCATCTGCAAACACTTGGAAGGTGGTAAGGTGATAGGGAACACAGCCAGCATGGATTTGTAAAGAACTAATCATGTCAAACCAATCTGATAGCTTTCTTTGATAGGATAACGAGTCTGGTGGATAAGGGAGAAGTAGTGGATGGGGTATACCCAGACTTTAGTAAGGCATTTGATAAGGTCTTGCATGATATTCATATTAATAAATTAGGCAAAAACAACTTAGATGGGACTATAAGATAGGTGCATAACTGGCTGGATAACCATTCTCAGAGAGTAGTTATTAATGGTTCACAATCCTGCTGGAAAGGTATAACAAGTGGGGTTTCGCAGGGGTCTGTTTTGGGACCGGTTCTGTTCAATATCTTCATCAATGATTTAGATATTGGCATAGAGAGTACGCTTATTAAGTTTGCAGATGGAAGGGGTTGCAAGCTGGGAGGGGTTGCAACTGTTTTGGAGGACAGGATAATAATTCAAAATGATCTGGACAAACTGCAGAAATGGTCTGAGGTAAACACGATGAAGTCTAATAGGGACAAATGCAAAGTACTCAACTTAGGAAGAAACAATCAGTTTCACACATACAGAATGGGAAGCGATTGTCTAGGAAGGAGTACAGCAAAAAGGGATCTAGGGGTTATAGTGGACCACAAGCTAAATAAGAGTCAACAGTGTGATGCTGTTGCAAAAAAAGCAAACATGATTCTGGGTGGGTTGTGAGCAAGACACTAGAAGTCATTCTTCCACTCTGCTCTGAGTTGATTAGGCCTCAGTTGGAGTATTGTGTCTAGTTCTGGGCACCACATTTCAAGAAAGATGTGGAGAAATTGGAGAATGTCCAGAGAAGAGCAACAAGAATGATTAAAGGTCTGGAGAACATGACCTATGAAGGAAGACTAAAAGAATTGGGCTTGTTTAGTATGGAAAAAAGAAGATTGAGAGGGGACATGATAGCAGTTTTTAGGTATTTAAAAGGGTGTCACAAGGAGGAGGGAGAAGAGGAAGTTACTCACCCTGTGCAGTAACGATGTTTCTTCGAGGTGTGTCCCCCCGTAGGTGCTCTACTTCAGGTGTCGGGCCCCGTCCTGGCGCCGCAGGTCAGAGAGTTGTTAGCCATGGTTCGGCCAGCCTGTGCACACGTGGGACACATGCTGTTCCCGCTGCTTCTGAGCGTGCGTGGGATCCGGCTCCCACCAGTTCCTCCTAACTGTCCATGGGTGGCAGGAGGATCAAACGGTCTCTCCTCCTGTCAGAGAAAAAAAATGTGTTAATACCTTATAGTTAGCCATAATTAGTTAGTTAGTTAGTAGTTACAGTTATCGTTCATTGTTCCAGTTCTTAAAAAAAAAATTCTGTGAGAGATGCCGGGCTCCCCCGGTTTTAAGAAATGCACTCTCTGCCGTGACGCATTGCCAGCGTCCGACGGACACTCTATGTGCATTAAATGTCTGGGCGAGGGGCATATACCTTATAAATGCCCACACTGCACAAAATTAACAGCCCGTGCCAGGCGCAAAATGTGCTTGAAACTACTCCTGTTCAACAAGGCTCTCTAGCCCCCTCAACAGGAAAAGTCTGACGTGCCACTGCCGGCAGCTCCACCGCGTGGTACAAAATTGCCCTCTCGCTCCTCTACTTCACATCAGAGCATTGGCAACAGACCAGGGACCTCTGGCATGAGCGTGTGGAAGAAAACAAGCCTTCACTCTGCATTGTGTTTAAGCAACAAATAGCCAGAGGCAGTTTATTCAAGCAATATTGCAAGGGAAGACATCCATAAGCGGATCTTCAAATACAAAACAATTAAAAGCCAATATATATACCTTTCTGTTACATATAACATTAAACAATTACTTCCCTGCCCATTCAGTTCCCATCGGACACTGTCTTATCTCAAGTTTCTCACTGAGGTAAGCATTCCACTCTTATCAATGTGAGAGAGACAGAAAGGCGAACACAGCGTCTCTTCTGGCTCTCGTGTTAGCAGGAGTCAAAGTGACCCAGACTCTTGCTCTGCTACTGACAAACCCTGAAATGGCTACTTAAATCCCCTTTCCCTTAGTCTTGCTTCCACAAGGGTATCCAGGTGCGGGGAGCGGCATAAGACAAGCCGATGCACTTCGGAGCCTAGCCCTTCCCGCCACAGGGAACCGGCTTCCGCAGCCGCATCTCTGAGATCTGAGTCAGCCCTAGCTCTAGTTAAACATTATTGTTCTTCCTGACCTCTGAGGATAGAACAAGAAGCAATGGGCTTAAACTGCAGCAAGGGAGGTTTAGGTTGGACATTAGGAAAAAATTCCTAACTGTCAGGGTAGTCAAACACTGGAATAAATTTCCTAAGGAGATTGTGGAATCTCTATCTCTGGAGATATTTGAGAGCAGGTTGGATAAATGTCTATCAGGGATGGTCTAGACAGTACTGGGTCCTGCCATGAGGCAGGGAACTGGACTCAATGACCTCTCAAGGTCCCTTCCAGTCCTAGTATTCTATGATTCTATGATTAAGACCATAACTTGATCACCTACCTTGAATGAACACTAGAGCCAGAGGGCAGGCTAAAGCCCAGAGTCCCGCTACCCCACCCAAAACCTATTGACAGAATCCTAAGGCAGGGAGAGAATAAAGCCTCCAGCCTCCATTTCGAAAATAAAACTGCAGTCTCCGAAAGAGCGCCATTACGTGATGATGCAAATGAAGCGCAGGATAATTAAATCCCCGCTTCATTTGCAATTTCGAAGTGTCTAATTTACATCCCTCTGTTGAAAGACACAGCCTATGTCACGATAGTGGCAAAGCTACAGAACTGTAGTTGTACCACTACCATGAAGACAAACTCTTATTCTGGTATAATAGGGCCTTTTCAGTTTAGCTTATGTTGCTTGGGAAGGGTTTTAAACTAAACCAAAAACCCTATTCATGTCGGAGTAGGTTACCCCATATAAATTATATTGGATATATACTGAAACTTTCTGCTATGTTCAGGGCTCGACAAACTGTTGTTTCTACTCACCCGGGGTGAGTAGATTTCAGCCGGTTGCTCAGTGAGCCCCATTTACCGGCGCTGCGCACATGCATAGTGCCAGTCTGGCACATGTGTGGTGCGGGGCTGGCGAGTAGCTCTTGCCACAGTTTGTTGAGCCCTGGTTATGTTCATAGCATAGAAACAAATAAGTTAGAGTATTTACTGTTTTTATCTTTCTGGAAGATTGAAATGTAACGTTGCTTTTATTTTTAAAAATTTAGAAGCTTAACATATGTGGCGGCGCGTTGGGGTTTCCCCGTCTCCTGCACCCCCGTAGTAGCACAAACAGACTCCACCAGCCAGTAGAATAGAGGGGGTTTATTTGTAATCTGGTTACAGGGCAGGCCTAGGATGCCTCAGCCCCCCTCTTGCTTAGGCTGC